ATCCAAAATGTGGCCCGGGAATGGAGTTCTGGGAAATCGAAGAGCACGAAGTGGCCTACAGTTGGCTCCGGGCATCCAAAATGTGGCCCGGGAATGGAGTTCTGGGAAGTCGAAGAGCACGAAGTGGCCTACAGTTGGCTCCGGGCATCCAAAATGTGGCCCGGGAATGGAGTTCTGGGAGCACCAAGAGCGATTTTGCGAGGATGTCCCAAGCGATTTCGGCTTCGGCGGCAGCCTCGGCGGCAGCCTGTCCGGGTCCCGCCCAGACCCCCCTGAGGAGTCGTGATGCTCTCTGTTGAGACCGGTAGAAACCTATCAGCAAGAGCTGTTAGGTAAAAACGATGCAAACCACACTCTGCCTCCAAATTCTGAACATGCGCAGCCAACCCGATGCGCCCCCCCCATCATCCCTGTCAAAAAACAATACATGATATACTTGGCGGCGGCGGCTGCTGCGGCGGCTGCGGCGGCTGCGGCGGCGGCGGCGGCGGCTGCGGCGGCTGCGGCGGCAGCGGCGGCGGCGGCGGTGGCGGTGGCGGTGGCGGCAGCGGCTGCGGCGGCGATTTGGCAGCGGGGTGCGGCGGCGGGCGGCGGGCGCGGCGGCGGCGGCGGGGCGGCGGGCGCGGCGGCGGCGGCGGCCGGGTTTGGCGGCGGCGGCGGCGGCGGGCGGCGGCGGCGGCGGCGGCGGCGGAGGCGGCGGCGGCGGCGGCGGCCGCGGATTGGCCCCCAGTAGCTGCCCATCCAAAGACGACTGCTGAATATGCTGAGGCTCGGGCCAGACTCGGGTGCTACGTATGTGTTGGGAGGGCCGGTGGGAGTGAGCGAGACGGCTTGCGGGCGGGGAGGGGGTAACTTGACCCCTCCCCCTACCCCCTCCCCTGGACTTGGACGGGGGGGGCCGCGAGGTGTCGGAGCGTCCAAAACGGCCTCGGCGAGGAAGCCACAATCATTGGTTTTACCAGGGTTTGGGCCCCATGTTGGCCTCTTGGGGGGGACGCTCATTAAGGAGCCCCCCTTCTTTGATCGATCTCCTCCGAGATGGCCGCACGAGCGCTCCCAAGGCTCCCAAGGGTGTCCCAAGAGGACCCCAAGAGGCGGCCAGGAGGCCCCAAGAGGCCCCCAAGAGGCCGCCAGGATGCCCTCAAGAGGCTCCCAAGAGACCCCCAAGGAGCCCCCCAGAGGCACCCAAGACGCCCCCGCGACAATGTCAAGATCATTGATCTTACTGAGGTGTTGGCCACATTTTGGCCTCCTGGGGGGGGCACTGCTTCAGATGACTCCAAGAGCGCCTGGGAGAGCCCAAGATGACCTCCAAGATGGCTCAAGATCTCCCAAGATGCCTCAAGATGGCTCCCACGATGCTCCAAGAGGCCCCAAGACTGCTCCAAGACGGCTCCAAGTGGCCAAAGAGCTCCCCCAGGAGGCCCCGAAAAGGCCCCAACCCTTCCAAAACCTTAGGAAAATCAATGTGTTTGACTTTCTCGCCGAGGCCTCAAGATGGCTCCGAGATGGCCCAAGAGGGCTCCAAGAGCGCTCCCGAGGCTCTCAAGAGCGCTTCAAAAGGGCCCCAAGAGGCGCCAAGGAGGCCCCAACAGCCGCCCAAAAGGCCTCCAAGACGCTCCCAAGAGATCCCCAAGAGGCCCCAAGAAGCTCTCCGAGGCACCCAAGACGCTCTAAGAGGCGTCCAGGACCGCCAAGAGGCCCCCAAGACGCTCCAAGAGGCCTCCACTGGGAGACCCTTCCTCTGTGTGCTGCCCACTTCCCTGATCGAGGCAATTCCTCTGGGCATCGTTTCTGGATGAGATGGTGGGGTTATGCGAAGCGTCTAGAATTGCTACCCCCTCCCGACCCCACGGCTACGTGACGTGCAAAAGTGGACCAAAACCGCCGACCGCCGACGGCAGGGGAGACAGGATCCGCAGAGACGGTAGCATCTAATACATGTGTGCGCGCTCCTCGCAGGCTTGGTGTCGCCATCTGCAACGGATGGGGGCACGCAAACAGATGGAGCAAGTTGCGGGGGAGACAGAAGAGGAAGAGGCGGCGGCAACGGAGGAGAAGAGGGGGACGACCAGGATGAGGAGTGGGCGGGAGGAGGAAACCGTATGAAGAGGAGGGAAAGGAAGGGGGAGGAGTTGGATTAGAAGCAGGAGGATATGACTGAGGAACGCAAGAAGAAGGAAGAGGGACCGAGGAGAGAGATGGGAGATTGATTCGGACAAGAAAGAGACGTGATCAGGAGAAGCAGGATGATCTGGATGAGGTGCAGGAGGAGACAAACGACACCTCTTCAACGACAACCCAGGAAAGAACAAACACGGCACGCCGAGAGACCCCATGCAGGCGCCCGAGACACGGTGGCGGGATAGGCCAACGGGCACCAAATACCATAATGCCACGCCTGTGCGTTCTCCGCTTTCTCAGGAGAAGCCATGCCCAAAGGCCCGCCCAGCCGCAGCACGGAGGCCTGCGACAGGAGCCAGTCCGGCATACTAGCCTCCTGCGGTGTGGGAGGGGGCACCAGAAATAGGGCACGCTCCTATGCCCCCCCGTGTCCTGTTACCCCAATGTCCATCCTCCTCTCTCATCCTTTCTCCTGTCCCCCTTTCCACCTTCCTCTCTCATGTCCCCTCCCTTAAGGAACCCCTTCGCCTCCATTTCCCAGGGAAATGGAAAAGGAAGAATGGAGGAGAAATGGAGAAGGAGGAGGAGGAGAAGGAGAATGAGGAGGACGAGACCTCCAGGAGGCATCAAGAGGCCCCGAAAAACCCCAAAGAGGCCCAGAAGAGCCCTAAAAGATGCTCTCAGGGCACTTGACACAAGCATGTGATTCCAACATGTCCTTTTTATCAAGCTCGCCTGGCAGCTTGGCTACGCTTGCAAACAAGGGAATCTCACATTGCCTCCTCCTCATCATCCTCCTGTCCCTCCTGTTCCTCCTCCTCCTCCTCCTCCTCCTCCTCTCCTCCTCCTCCTCCTCCTCCTCCTCCTCCTCCTCCTCCTCCTCCTCCTCCTCCTCCTCCTCCTCCTCCTGGGGCGAAGACATCGGGTTCTCGGCTTACGCTCCCGATCCTGCGCCGCGGATGGCGCCCTCTCTGGCAGGCTTGGACGTCTCTTCAGCCGTTTGGGAGCCGTTTTGGGGCCGCCTTGGGGCGCTTGTGAAGCCTATTGGGCCGTCTTTGGGTGATCCTTGGAGCCTCGCGGGGCGTCTTGCAGCATCGGGAAGCGGAGCAGGCGGAAACGCCAAAATGGTTCAAACACCTACGAACAAACACAATGTGGTTTGGCCTCTTCGAGCTCTCTTGGGAGACCTCTCGGAGGCCTCTTTGGTATCTTGGGGGCCTCTTGGGCCATCTGGAAGTCGTCTTGGGCGTCTTGGACCGTCTAGTGGCCTTCGGCCCAACGCGCCACCGTGCCTGGGTTGTGGGTTAAAGGCCTCTTGGAAGTTCGTTTGGAATTCGTGGGGGGCCTCCCGGGAGTCTCTTGGATGCAGTTTGGGAGGTCTTTGGGGGGCCGTTCGGGGTTCTCTTGGGGCGCCTCGTTGGTCCTCTGTGGGGCCTCTAGGAAGCCTCTTGGGCTCTCTTGGAGGCTTCTTAGGGCCTCCTGGGGGCCTCTTGGGGTGGAGCTCGGATCGTCGGCTCGTGTTCCCCATCTTGGGCCCCTCTTGGGGCCGCCTTGGGGCCCTCTTGGGCGATCTTGTGCGCCTCTTGGACCGTTTTGGGGCCCTCTTGGACCGTCTTGAGGCCCACTTGGGCCGTCATTGAAACGGCCTTGGAGGCCTCTGGGGCCATCTTCGCGCGTCGGACGCCCATACCGCGAGAACGCGAAAAAAGCATACACAAACACACGGGAAATCAATGAATTGTTGGTCTTTTGGCCCTCTTGGGGGTCCTCTTGGGGCGCTCTTGGAGCCAGCGCTTTTGGACCGTCTCAGAGGCCGATTGGGCCCCTTAGCCTCTCCGAACCGCCTCTGGGAAGCGAACTGGATGGGTAGCAACAAGCTTTCCCGGATGGTTGCGGACTGGGTGCCCCAAGGCCAGGGGGGGTCCATTTATGTATTAATTCAGTTATGTTATATACGTATGGAAATTTACAGATACACATGTATACACAAGGAAGAGCTGGGTGATCTCGCGCCATAACGGACATCAATATCCTCACACATATCCCTTCACGCTGCGCTGGTTTCTTTCTATCCGCCAACGGATATCAGAGCGGACCTGGAACTCTCAAACCTCGCATCCGAGGCTGGGGGGTGAGATCGCAATGCAACAGAGACCCCCCACCGGGAATTCGGTGTCGTTTTCGTGTTCGTGTCGTGCGTGCGGGCGAGGCGAAGCTGCGCGTGATCCTCCTGTCGCTAGGCCGAAGTAGGAGCGAAAAGTCCGTCCGCCCAGCAGCCAGTGGCCGGTTGGGCCGGGCGGTGTCCCGGGTGTCCCGGGAGTCAATACGAGCGAAAATCTGGTTCCCGTCCGCCGGTGGCCCGGAGGTGTCCCAGTAAGGCCGGGCGGTGTCCCAGGTGTCCCGGGTGTCCTGGGCGTCCCAGCGCTAACGCATGTCGCTAATTTCATAATGGATTTTGTTCGGCGCCTGCGGCGGGCTTTCTTATCCAATCCAGCTTATCTTATCCAATCCATCTTCTCCAATCCAATCTATATACATATATATATATTATCTTATCCAACGCATATTGTCCCATCATATCTTATCCCACCAAATCCAATCCACCCAACCCAATCCATCAATTCATTTGTTTCTGCGCCTGCGGCGGGCCAATACAGTCCATCTGATCGTATCCAATACATTTCTCCCAATCCAACCCATCTTATCAGATCAACTCCATCTTATCCCATCCAATCCACTTCACCCAACCCAATCCATTAATTCATTTTTGTCGGCGCCTGCGGCGGGCTTTCTTATCCAATCCAGCTTATCTGATCAAATCCATACTGTCAAATCCAATAAAGGTTGTCTCAATCCCCCCAAACCTCCTTATCGCACGCAGGGCGGTCGTATAGGTATCTTATCATGCGCAGTCATGAAGAGAAGCTGTAGGCGGATGGGTAACATGAGCACGAGGACAACGAGGATAAGGTAGGAGGAATAAGCGGAGGAAAGGGCTGAATAATGCCATCAGCAAGAGGACCAGGATAATGAGCGGAAGGAGCATGAAGAACAGAGGAAGGCGGAGGAGGAGGAGCAACGCTGGAGGGCGACAACGAAAAGGACTGAGGTCCAGAGATGTGGCCCGCGCAGGGGTGAGAGCGCCTTGCTGAACGACGGGAGCAAAGCGCGGAATGAGGCCAGAGCTGCAGCGGAAACACAATGTTGAAAAACCGAAGACGCTGCAAGAAAAAACAAAAAACATGCAAGGAACCAACATTGAATCCCAACAACCCTCTGGGCTGAGTGGTCTAACGGAGATCCCTGCCACAACCCCTCCTTCCCCTGCTCGGGGGACGGGTTTGCCCCCTCCCCCCCCCCGTACCCCCTCCCCTGGGCCTGGGAAGGGTGGGAGGGGGGGGGGGGGGGGGCAAGCCGGCAGACCGCCCAAGATGACCCAAGATGGCTCCCAGAGGGCCTTCGGCAGCCCAAGAGGGCCTCCAAGATGGCTGAAGGTACCCCAACATCGCTCAATATAGCCTCTTGTATGCCTCCAAGACGGCCCAAGACAGCCCCAAGAGGGTTCCGAGTGCCCTTCGAGCCTCCCACCAGGGCACCCCCCAAGAGGCCAAAGCCTGTCAAAAACCAAGGGAACACCAAGGTTGTCGGGCTTCTCGCTTTTTGGCTTCCGATGAGCCTCTTGGGCATCAAGATGGCCCCAGGATGTCCCAAGAGAGGCCCAAGACGGCTCCAAGACGGCCCCTAAGAGCGCCCAAGAGGCGACCAAAAGCGGCCCAAGAGGCCCCCAAGAGGCCATCTTGGAGCTTCCGAGGGGGGAACCGAATTGTTTATCCCACTTCTTTGATTGATCTGCTCCAAGATGGCCCCAAGAGAGCCCGAAAGGGCGCCCAGCACCACACTGGAGGCGCCCAGCATCACCAGGGAGGCCACCAAGAGGCCCCAACGAGAGACTAAAGAGGCTCCAAGAGGCTCCTCCGAGGCATTAAAGACGCTCAAATAGGCCACATAAACAACTAAGACCCCTCCTCCTCCTCCTCCTCCTCCTCCTCCTCCCCCTCCTCCTCCTCCTCCTCCTCCTCCTCCTCCTCCTCCTCCTCCTCCTCCTCCTCCTCCTCCTCCTCCTCCTCCTCCTCCTCCTCCTCCTCCTCCTCCTCCTCCTCCTTCTCCTCCTCCATGTGGGCATTGACTTGGGACTCTCACGCATAATATTACGCTTACTCTCGATGTTCCTCGTACTTTTCCTCCACCTCCTCCTCCTCCTCATCCTCCTCTCTCATTCGGAGCAAAATTATCTAGTGTTTTTCCCAACCATCCTGTGGTGTTGGGTCCTCGTTTTGAAGAGACGGTGCCCCGCGTTCCTCTCCTCTCCTCCTCCTCCTCCCTCCTCCCCCTCCTTGCCTTTGCTCTCGGCACACCTCTCACGCGTTTCGTAGCCCCATAGGGAGCTCCACCGAAGGCCCCAGTGGGGGTGTTCGCATGCGGTTCCCCCACCCAGGGCAGCGTTTCGTGGCCCCATAGGGATACCGAAGGCCCCAGTTGTGTGTTTCGTAGCCCCATAGGGAGCTCCACCGAAGGCCCCAGTGGGGGTGTTCGCATGCGGTTCCCCCACCCAGGGCAGCGTTTCGTGGCCCCATAGGGAGCTCCACCGAAGGCCCCAGTGGGGGTGTTCGCATGCGGTTCCCCCACCCAGGGCAGCGTTTCGTAGCCCCATAGGGAGCTCCACCGAAGGCCCCAGTGGGGGTGTTCGCATGCGGTTCCCCCACCCAGGGCAGCGTTTCGTAGCCCCATAGGGAGCTCCACCGAAGGCCCCAGTGGGGGTGTTCGCATGCGGTTCCCCCACCCAGGGCAGCGTTTCGTAGCCCCATAGGGAGCTCCACCGAAGGCCCCAGTGGGGGTGTTCGCATGCGGTTCCCCCACCCAGGGCAGCGTTTCGTGGCCCCATAGGGAGCTCCACCGAAGGCCCCAGTGGGGGTGTTCGCATGCGGTTCCCCCACCCAGGGCAGCGTTTCGTGGCCCCATAGGGAGCTCCACCGAAGGCCCCAGTGGGGGTGTTCGCATGCGGTTCCCCCACCCAGGGCAGCGTTTCGTGGCCCCATAGGGAGCTCCACCGAAGGCCCCAGTGGGGGTGTTCGCATGCGGTTCCCCCACCCAGGGCAGCGTTTCGTGGCCCCATAGGGAGCTCCACCGAAGGCCCCAGTGGGGGTGTTCGCATGCGGTTCCCCCACCCAGGGCAGCGTTTCGTAGCCCCATAGGGAGCTCCACCGAAGGCCCCAGTGGGGGTGTTCGCATGCGGTTCCCCCACCCAGGGCAGCGTTTCGTGGCCCCATAGGGAGCTCCACCGAAGGCCCCAGTGGGGGTGTTCGCATGCGGTTCCCC